CTTTTCCAAGATTTTACTGCTAGTAAGTGAGAAAACTGGAATTTGAACCTGGGTATTCTGTCCCCAGGTGAGCACAGCACCATGGAATGCTGGCTTCTGAGGATATCTTGACCTCATACCTCCCACAGTCAGGCAGCATCCAGCCAAGCACTGTGACCTCAGCCCCAACCCTCCTTAGAAGTGAAATTCCCTGAGTGGCCACGAAATATTAGGGAGTCCCACCTCTAGATCTTTCCCTGGAGTAGGTTCTTAAGCATCATTAAGAATCCCCCGGAGCCTGTCCACAGGCAGATCCAAGCCCCACCCCCAGACATTCTGATTCAGTGGGCCTGGGGTGGGGGTGGGCATGGGGGGGGTTAAACACACTTCAGGTACATCTGGCACTGGTGGCTCCTGGTCCACACATGGGGATACACTGCTGAAAGCAGCATTTCTCAAACTATTTTTTTTACCATGTGCCACATATAACTACATTGGACATCTCAATTCAGTACACACATGCTCACACATATGGCAGGAGAAACATTGAAGGATAGAGCAAACCAAAGCTGGAATTCTGAGTGACTGTTATAGAATCAGTTTCTCCTAGGCCTGAAAGGGACTATAAAGCCACCTAGGTCAAAGCCTCTATTTATCATCTTGAATCCCCTAGCCTATCACATTCCTGCAGAGTGGTGGTCCTCCAGGCTGTGCTTGCATACCTCCAGTCTTGGGGAACTCACAACATTCTGGGACAGTCCATTCTCTCTTCCATAGCTCCAGCTGTTGGAGAAATTGAGCTGAACTCTTGCAAGGAGGTCCATTGGCTCACTGACTGCAGTGGTGCTTATCATTAACTGACATCTGTGCTAAGCACTTTCAAACATTGTTGTGTCTAGTCCTTATAACCACCTATGAGGCAAAGCCCCTTCTTGTCCCATTATCTAATGCATACTGAAGCTTGGAGACATTATTTGTGCAGCTACCTCAGGGCCCCATCATGGGTGGCAGGACTGGGATGGGAGCCCTACTCCTTATTGCTTAAAGCCTGCGCTTTTCCTTCCTCTCCGTGGATTCTCACACTCGAGTGTTCAGAGACATCACCTGGAGAAATGTTAAAAATGCAAGTGAGCTGCAGAATAAGGTGGTGCACTTAGATGCTCCCCCATCCTGCCTCATCTAACGGGCATCTCTTTCTTCAGACCGCATCGCGCGGAACCGCAAGACCATTGTGTGCCCAATGATTGATGTGATTGACCACGACGACTTTCGGTACGAGACACAGGCTGGGGATGCCATGAGGGGTGCCTTTGACTGGGAGATGTACTATAAGCGGATCCCGATCCCTCCAGAGCTGCAGAAAGCTGACCCCAGTGACCCATTTGAGTAAGTATGAGCATCCCAGGCTGGTCCCAACGGTTGACCCAATGACCACTCCCGATACACAAACACACCTCAGAATGGCTACCTCCCCCAAAAGTGCAGTACAGAGGGTCCAGCTTCCCACCCTGCTCAGTACCAAGTGTCAGATGTCCCCATTCAGAAGCACTACCCTTCCCAGCTTGTCACCAAGCTTCAGCCCATGGACCACCAAGCTGGTCACCTCCACCTTACCCACCTCTGGGCAGTTTGCCATGATTGCCAGTAGGGTTGCCAAGCCTGGCATCCCATTGTCATCATTGTCACACCAGGAGCCAGGCACAGTGCTGAGCACATTGTACCCTGATCTGATTTAGCCCCCAACAAGCATATGTGCTAAAAATTATCATCCACGTTTTCCAAATGGGGACACCAAGACTCCAAGGCTAAGTAACTTGCCCAGGTCACACAGTTACTTAGTGGCAATGGCTAGGTGCAAATGCAGGTCTGTCTGCCTCTGGAGCCAGTTTTCCCACCATTCTGTTATGCTCCCTTGGAAGCACTAGAGAAATGACAGCTTATCCCACAGCACAAGTTAGCAGGGGGCGCCTGGCTAGAGAACTGGACCCATAGCATCCCAGAATGTGAAAGCTGGTAGGAACCTACAAATGAAGGACTCAAGCCCTTGCCAATGAGGATACTGAGGCCCCAGGAGAGGACCAGGCTTGCCCTTGGGTACACAGTGAGTTAGGAGCTAAGCCAGAAGCAGAGCCCAGCTCTCTCTGGTGCTCCAAGCTCTGGAAAGGGTCTTTTCTTCAGCAGTAGGCTCGCCATCCCTGCACCTGTCATGGGAGCCATTCTAACTCTCCTGCCAGAGGTGTGGAAAAGATCTTTGGACACAAAGCCAAAGCCCAGGCTCTCCTGCTATATTAGTGTCCTAGCACTGCTGTGATAAACTACCACAAAACAACCCGAACTTACTCCCTTAAAGTTCTGGAGGTCAGAACTCTGAAATGAGGCTTACTGGGCTAAAATCAGTGTCAGCAGGTCTGCATTCCCTCTGGACACTCTAGGGGAGAATCCATGTCCTTGCCTTTCCCAATTTCTAGAGGATGTTCACATTCCTTAGCTCATGGCCCCTCCCTCCATCTTCAAAGCTGGGAGCATAGCATCTTGAAATCTCTCTGTGTTTCTCTCTCTCTCCCTCTCCCTCTTTCCCTCCCTCACACCTCCCTCTCTCTCTCTCACCTCTGCTTCCATCATGATATCTGCTTCTTCCACTTATAAGCCCTTGTGATTACGTTGATTACATGTGATTACACTGGGCTCACCAGGACAATCTCCCATCTCAAGATCCTTAACCTTAATCATATCTTCAGAGACCCTTTTGCCGTGTAAGGTAATATATTCCCAGGTCCTAGGATTAGGACATTGACATCATTTGGGGGGCCGCACCTCCCCCAGTGAACCCCGACTTCTCTGCACCCTACCCTCCCCATCTGAGAAACAGGACTGTTGGCTCAGCCATCATCATGGGCACAGTGCATACCCAGGGTTCCTGAGGGCCCGCCCCCCAATGCTGTGGTCCCCAGGGAAGGCTCAGAGGTAGGAGGAGCTGGGCTTCTTTGAGGAAATGAAAAGTGACTGGGGGGGTGGGGGGGGCACGCAGCAGCCTGAGCCAAGAGTGGGGGCATGAGTGGATTCCATGTCCTCTTCAGCAGGCCACACATTTGGGGTCTTCTCCTGACCTCCTTCCTGTTCAACTTGGTCAGTCGCTGCTGTTAGGTCCCTTCCTAGTGCAAAGATAAGACTACCTCATGCTGTCAGTCCCACCCTCCCTAGATCTCAGAGTCGATCCTCAGTTGACCTGAATTCTTGGGGAATAATATTAACAGGAATAACTAACATCTGGCCTGAGTTGGCAAAACAATTTCAACTAACATGATTGTGGATGGTCCTCACAACAGTCCCCAGGTGTAGGTAGAATTGTCCCCATTTGACTGATGTGGACTCTGTGGTTCAGAGAGGAAATAGGACAGCAGAAGCTGAGGTGGGAAAGGGCCAGTCCAGAAAGCGGAATTTTCAGGGTAACTGAGGGGTAATCAGAACCCGCTTTATTGTTTATTGTTTGAACCTTTGCCATGAGCATATTCATAGGCCCTAGATTCACTGTCCTCATTGCACAGTGAGGAAGGGGTAAGTCCAGGTCGTGCAGCTGGCTAGTAGCAGAGGATCAGCTGGTGTCCTCTGGTACCTCAGTCTCCTCATCTGGATATTGAAATGGTTGGCCTTGCCTGAGACCAGTGGTTCTCAATCCCAGCTGCACATTAGCATCACCTGGGCAGCTTGTAAAAAAAACACCTGGGCCCCCCCACAGACCAATTACATCAGGGTCTGTGGTGGGATGCAGGCATCATTGTTTTTTTAAAGCTTCCACGTGATGCTGATATGTGGCCAGGGTTGAGACCCACTGGTCTAGAGGCTTTCTGAGGGACTTTCCATCTTTTGTGTCCTCTGATTCCTTCCAGAAGTCTATCTTCTGTATCACACTTGGGCAAAACCGTGGGGAGTGGCCACTAGAAAAGTCCTGGTCATTTTCTGCATGCCTTCCCACGGTGCCCAGTGAGCTGCAATCTGCAGGCACAGCGTGGTGTAGTGATGTTTGAAAGACACAGGCTTAGGGGGCAGGTCCCAGTTTGAATCGCAGTGCATCCACTTACCAACTGCATGCCCTTGAGCAGATTATGTAGCATGTATGAATTTCAAATTTCTCCATCTGAAAAGGGGGCTAGTAATTGAGCTTTGAGAGAGCTGGAGATAATGTCGGTAAAGTGACATTTTACATAGCACATACTGGATGCTCAGAATTGTTGTTATTATTGCTGAACACAGCAGAGAACAACAGGCTGGAAGGAGAGGACTCCCTCCGGGGGCAAAGCCTCAAGCATCCAAAGTGCCTTAAGGCTAAAAACCTACCTGGTCCACGACAGCTTCTCGGCTTGTGCCTCTGCCTTCCACCCAGGCTGATTTTCACGTGCAGTTCTGGGATTGATTTCCCATGGAGCTGTGAGTCAGAAACACTCTCTGCCTCTCGCAGCAGTTCATTTAGACCCCTAGCCAAAAACAAAACCCAAAACCCACAATCTTCAGAAGATAAGGGGGAGTCAATACTAACACCTTGTTTTCTTATAGTACTGGTTACTTTTAGAAATATGCTATCAAGCAATGTGATAGGACGTGTAGCTATAACTCCCTTGTGTAGATGGGGACTCAGGCTCAAAGAGGTTAAATCAGCACTGTCCACTATAATGCAAGCCACATTTGTAACTTTAAACTTCCTAGTAGCCACGTAATAAAGGTAAAGAGAAATAGCTAAAATTCATTTTAATAATATATTTTATTTAAATCTGTATATCTAAAATATCATTGTAACATGTAACAACACTTTAAGTTAT